GGTGCTTCTTGCCTAATTCGTTCCTTCAGTTCTCTCAGAGCTTGGTCGGGCGATGTCCTATACTCCTCTCCCGCTTCGCCCACGGTCGGTTGTGGCCCCATCGTGTCGGGTTCCATTGGACCGCCTGAAGACGCAATTAGGTTTCCTTGCCAACTGTTACAACCCGAACCTATGACAGTTGCTGCAGCCCGGACCTGTGACAGTTGCGGCAGCCCGGACCTGTTTCCTTGTCACGGCTCGCGTCCGCCTCCAAACTAAGCTCTCAATTGCCTTGATTACCACCTCCAGCAACTCGTACCGGCCGCAGATCTCGTGTTCTTCCTCTATCACAAGAATCCCTGTGTCTAAGTAAACCTCTCCTTCGGGATCGGTCAACAAGGTCGTGCCTCTCCAGATCTGCAATTCACCCGTGACACTCCTCAAGAGTCTCTGAGCGTCTCTCTTCGTCCTTCTTGCTAATTCTCCTAGCCCTGTCTGAATCGGTTAGCGGGTCCTACTGCCGTCCAATGTCGCCCATCGACCTTTCTAGCTTCCTCTATCCTTCCAAGAACTTCTAATTTATATTTCCTCTACGTTATCTCCTCAACGGCTACGAGGTCATCTGTCTAACAGCTGAGGTAAGTTAGTGCTACAACCACTTGTAACCTCATCGCCGACCGCTCCTATATGTCATAAAATATCTCTAAGTCCTCATTATCTCCTCCATCGTCTATTGCCTCCAAAGTCTTTATCGTTTCCTTCCACTACTGGTTGTGAGCGGCTAACACGCTGAGTATTGCACCATCTATTACAACTCTCCCTAACTCTCCAGCTTTCCTAGCTTCGGTTATCTTCAACCTCTCTGCCTCTCTGGTCGTCTCGTACCAGGCCCTTATCCGAGACCGCCCTTCGAAGGATGTTACTCGAAGTACGTATTTTATCCTCCGTCCTCCTTCTATTCCAATCCAAAGYCYTGTYCCCCTKGCCTCACGCAGKGCRYGGCGRAMASACTCTGTCTCCTCAACTATGCACAGTCTGGTATGGAGCTGGAGTTCTATGATCACTAACACTAATGGTCCGTCCAGTCTCCCTACCACATGTAATGAGTACCGATCCGTCRTGTGTAGTGCAGTCCCGCTCATGTCTCGTCGGTACTCCCCTGTGTTACTTTGTCTTCCGTTGTCTCGCTCTCTCCAGATCGCTTACTACTTCCCTGGCGTGATACGCTTCTAGCCTTTACCTTCTCCAAAAAGTCTGATCTCCACGCCTCGATAATCTCTCTTTCTTCCCTAAACAGATTGTCTAACTCTC